CACGAACGGTCGTGGATAACTGAAGAATTGCATTTAAATATCCAAAATAGTAATGTAAATCATCTGGTGATCGTTATTAATTTGAAACAAAAAAGATCATCTTCATATATCATCTTTGATATTATACATGTATTAGTAGTAGAGTTACAGAACAAGAGAAAAGAGGAACAAAGTTTCTGATAAAATCGCTTGGATTTAATCAACGGAACGGACAATGACTATGATCAACAGTTATGGTGAGACGACAATCAACAGGATTGTATTTTTTGAATGATACTCCATTTATCATATCTGATTGTTGATCGATTTGTGTGGTTATGGTAATTGAATTAAAGAAGAAGATGGCGGAAAAAAGTTCAATTAACAACCGGAGGCTTATAAAACCCTGGAGAGGTGAAAGTGTAAAAGAGAAACTTTGGAATCAGATTAATAAATGGCAATTAGCTGATTAATCGGAATAACTGTTAATTCTTGAAAAGGTTGAAACAGAAAAAGACACAAATCGATAACTTATTCGGGTCATTAAACTTTCTCTTCTTCACTTCTTCACTTCTTCTCTTATTCTTTTCCATTATTCAATTAATCGACAATCAAATTAATCAGTTAAGATTCTGGTCACTCATTGAGTTTACGAAAAGGAGAAAAAAACACCAATAAGGTGGAGAAAGTGTCGAGAAAAGTGGGAGTCTCGAATTTTCGATGGAAAGTGAAAATAAGAGAGAGAGAGAAAGAGAGAAAAAGAGAGAGAGAAGATTCTAATTGATAGATAGATTTATTTATTATCGAACATCAAATTAAAGTAACTTCCTTTTAAAGATTCATACCCTGAAAGACTGGGTCAGTTTCACTTTTGACCTGTTAAAAGTAACCAAAAAATAACCTCAGGGCATAACGATGATGATACTAACTTTTTCCTCCTCATATTGATATTTATTCATCGCTTACAGTAATTAACAGGTAGATAATCATAATCATAATCATATTTGTAACTGTAGCAGATTAATAATCTAATTCAATTGATAGAACAGAATGAAAAAAAATTCTTTGATTGTTATTTGATTTCAATTATCGGAAGGAAGTAAATTGTTGGACTATTGTTGCTTGTGTGGTGAAAGTGGGAAGATAAATAATTTGGTCAATTGTTGATAAAATGCGTTTACATGTAAATTAAATGTTATTTGAGTTAATTGTAACTCCTACTCTCTGATTGGGTTGATTGTGTTGTTGTGGTTTCCTATTGTTATATCTTACCAATCAACAAGTACCAACATCATTGATCAGTAATCGCTAATCAATGATACTTAATCAATAACAACATCGCGTTGAAATACATTTATGAACGAAGATAATTGTTGCAATGATAATGATCATGATTAACTGTTTAAATTAAAAAAATTTGCACAAAAAAGAGGCAAAAACTATTGAGATATCAATTGATTGATTACATAACTTTGAACTTTCTCAAATCAAGTCAACAATTAATTTCTCGCCTAAAAACTGAATCAAAATATCAATTAATTGCTAAAAATATCTAAACATTTATCTGCCGTCAATCACGTAGCTATGTCAAAGTCAATAGAATGGCCATTGGTCAAGCAAGACGGAAAAGTAACCGCAACAACTCAGGTCAATTTCATCTAATCACAAACCAATTCGAAACAATTTAATTCAATCAATCTTAACAAAGTCTCGAACTGAACAAAAGTGTACTATCGTTTTCACGACTAAAGTAGCAGACAATTAAACGAACCTATTAAATCGAACCTTGAAGAAATTTTCTACGCTCAAACAGTCAACCAACAATTAGAAACCCATCACTGATTAACAATCTAATTAACTGACAATAAGAACTAATCGTGAAAAGAGCGACATCTGATGAAAAATCGGTGAAACTCACGATTAAAATGTTTACCGTTATCTTAAAGTTTTTGTTTTTCGTCAATTGTTATCAATTGATCATCTTAATTGTTGATTCATATCACTTTCTCATTTAATACTTTCATCTTGATTCTAACAATTAGATTGAAGTAAAAAACCAAGTTTTCGATTTTTTTCCGTGATAATTTTTTCTCCATTTATATTTAGTTTCAATTCAATAATAGGAATTAACAATTAATTGATATTAATAGAAAAAGAAACAGAACTTTTTTTCATTAAATGATCAATTCTTATTCTTCGGCTCTATTACTATGATTTTATCAGTACAATGATAAGAAAACTGATTCGGGAATCGGTTTTGAATCAATTGACCAATCGGTTGATCAGCTAGAATTATAAGATTACAATAATTAGATAATCAAATGTCACGATTAAGTAAATGGAAAGGTAATCAATTAGCTTCTTGAAGATTAAATTTAAATCAAATTGATTAGATTAACCATTGAAAATGATTAACTACAAAAGGGAAAGCAAATATATAATATAAAAGTTTCATTGTTTGATAATAATAATTCAATAATCATGATTAAGTTATCATGTTATTGATGAAAATGATGCTCATCATTTAATATAATGATAACTGTTTTTCATGCTCAATCTTAATGATTAACTTGTTTTTACCATGTAAATGTAATTACAATTTGATTTAGTAGCAATCAATTGATGTTGGTGGTCATTTAGCTTTTAAATTTAGAGACTATTGTTAAATTAAATTGTTAATAAATTGTTGAAACAATTGATCAACAGATTGAGAAAAGGAAAACAACCTCAACCTTTGAATTGTAAACTTTATATATATTTTGTTTTCTCTAATCAATTGATTATTATTATTACTTTTTGGTTACAATTAGAATCAATTGTTTTCATCATAATCAGTGTAACAATTTATCGTTAATTAGTTGTTGTTAGTTAATTGTAAACTCTTTGTTTCTTGATTGTTCACCAAACAATTAGAGAAAGACATTTTTCCAACATTCTAATAACAAAAAATAATTATTTTCATACAAACCAAAAATCATTTCAAGCTTATTCAATTGGAATCAAATTTAATTTAGTTACTTATTGTACTAATCTGATTGTGGTAATCTAATGTTAAGCTAATTAATTGATGATTTAGATGGTGATTAGCTTGGCCTTAACTTAATTCTTTATATCAACAGGGAAAAAACAACAACATGAACAATTTATTTTGATTACGACAAAAAAATCATCACAATTAAGGTTTTTTTTTGTGAAAACCGAGAAAAAAAGTTTCTGTTTTATTAATATCGTAGTAATCAGTTAATCATGATACGGATTAACAACGATTGAACTTTAACAATTAATCAAATGGAAAAAGATTATCATAGCAAATGATGAACTGTAAAGTTTTACCTGGACAATTTAATACAGTTACAAATGTAATTAACTGATTTAATTAACCTTGATCGCGAAGTAGCATCGCTGATTTGACTAATTAAGATGACAGAGTGAGATTAAATTAGCGTGCAAATTATTAATCTGATGAGTTAAATGAGTGTATTAAGTTTCATATGGTCAATATTTTGCTCGTTAATCTGATTAGTTAATGGTCAACAATTAAAACCAAGAAAATCAACAAAAAAAACTGACCAGTTAATTGTGATTAAATTTAAGATAAGGATAAAAACAATAAGCAAACAATTTGAATACATATTTCCTGTTATTGATTGAGCGTTTTAATTGTTTCATTCAAATGATCAAACAATTAATTAGATTGATTAATCTAATTTACTTCGCTTCAATGAATTGTGATCATTAACGATGATTAACAATTAGAAATCAACTTTTCAATTAGATAATTAGATTGAAATGAAGAAATTGAAAAGAAAGGAAAATAAAATTAAATAAATTATATCAAATTTTACTTTTAATTGTGATTATCAATAAGTAACAATCAACAATTAACACTTACAATTAAACTCCTAAACCATGAATAATATTGCTAATATAATATCAAGTGTGACAATTAAATAATAATCATAACAATCAAACATAAGGATCGAGTGTAATATTAATAATTTTGATTGTTTAAATCAATCAATTGAAACCAATTAATTAACACTTGATTATAATCTGAAAAATAAACAAAAAATTGATTTGATTTAATTCAGTTAATTAGAGTTAATCAAATCAACTTTTTCCCTGTTGATTAATATGAGAAAAAACTTTCGATTTCTTAATTTGATTTGAGATTTAAATTGTTGAGATAATAATAATAATTTGGATGTTGATTGTTGTGTTTAATGATTAAACTTGTGATTATATTTGGCTAACTGATTAAGAGACTTTTTTTTTATTACTTCGATGGTAATAATCATGTCGATAGCCTGAGGGAAGCGTTTTTTTAATCAATACTTTGAGAAAGTGTATCATCAAAGTATCAGGTTTAATTAGGAGCAGATTGAATATCTATTTTATTTGCATCTTTCGCTACAGGGTTAATCATGAAACATCATTCAATCAGCGGAATATTTATTAATAATGATTGAATAATAAAAGATTAGCAATCAGATCGATGATGTGATAAAATTTCAAATTTTCCATTCGAATAGTTAAAAAATTCAATTCGAAAATCAATTATCACGAAGCATCAAGAATTGGATCTATGATAAGTCCAGTATTCGGATTCAAAAGTTACAAGAACTTTGGTTACTATGATTGACCAGAATTTAGGTTAAAACCTAGCACCAAGAGAGAGAGAGAGAGAGAGAGAGAGAGAGAACGGATGATGAAGAAGAAAAAGAAGAAGCCCTGAAGAATAATATTCGATATGATATTTGTTAAACTTTTAAATATTCGAAAGAGAAGAGAAATGAGAGAGTGAAAGAGCGAGAGAGAGATAAAAGAGAAAGAGGGAAAAAGCAAACGAAGAAGGAAAAAGAAAAAAAAAGAGAGAAGAGAAAAAAAAGAGCAAGGAAGAGAGAAAGAACTAAAAGTAAGAGAAGAAAGAGAAAAAAAGAAAAAAGTAAGAAAAGGTAAAGAAGATGAAAGAAGATTGAATTCTTGCCACTCAACCTCCTCCTTCTTGTTTATGGCTCGAAATAAGGAGGGAGCCAAGTTAACTGTATACTAAAGGAGTCATGAGTACCTGAGATAGTATATAAGATGAGAGATACCTGTTGATGAGACTCATTCGGCTTCTTAAAGTGAAAACACCAGCATCAAGTCAATCGTTTGGTTATAATCATATTTTAGGTAAATAACAACAATCATTTATAAACAATATCGACAAACATCATCGACACCAACACCTAAGCTCCATCTCTCCCTTTTCCCTTTAGTCTCTCACCTGAATAACCCAATCACCAAAATCGACTAACAATCAACTAATCAACTCCCATTATCAGCTTATCCCCTTTACTCTCTTTCCCATTCTCTTTTTCTCTCTCACTAACTCACTAATTGTTAACATTTATTGTTATTGTTTTGTGACAACTTTTTTTTTCGTTAATCAATTTACCGATAATCGTTTCATCGGCGCTTGACGTCAAATAACCAACCCCATTTTCGATTAACAGTTTAAATCATTTTATTCTTTATGATATAATTAATCTTGTTTATTCTTCTTCTTTTTTTTTCTCTCTCTCTCTCTCATTATTACCGTTACTTGTTCGTTCATCTCAACATCAACAACCATCATCATCATCATCACCATTTCAACTTGATCATCAAACACCATCACCATTGATTGTAAATTCGTTACCATTGTGAACCATATTAATTGTTTTTTTCTTTTCGTAACCACAAACACAATTTACCAATCATCAAAAGGAGTTATGCAATTGTCTACTCTAGTGCTCATTTTGGGCACCCTTTCCATTCAGGGTTCCCTCGCATCTTGGGATGAATGGGGTCATGTTGAATATGCTCGACCAGTTAAAATTATCGTCAAACATGTAGCCAAACATATTCCAATCCCAAAACCTTATCCAGTTATCAAGAAAGTCCCAGTGCCCAAGGCTTATCCAGTTTTCAAACCTCTTCCAGTGGCTAAATTTGTCCCCAAACATGTTATCGTGCCCATTGTCAAACATGTCTATGCCCCATACCCAGTACTCAAACCATTCCCAGTGGCCAAGCCAATTCCAGTTCCAAAACCTTACCCAATCCCATACCCAGTTAAGGTAAGTTGATTAATCTTGAAAGACCAAATAATTCATTGAATCAAATTATCATCATTAAGAAAACATTATTTACTATTAGCATAGTATTAAGAGATCAAGTTATTTATATATAAGATTTTTCATTCATAATCTTATTTGTTTACATTCAACAACAACAACAAAAAAAACCTAAAGAAAAAGTAGTAACGGTAAAAGGATAAATTTACTTGTTCTTTTTTTCATCATTATCACTTTTATCTTTTCTTTTTGGTAGTTGAAAATAGTAATAACCATAATTAGTTATTTCAGTTAAGTAAAATCAGAATGAAAACCAACATTAGTAAGATCAAGATCTTCTTCATCTTAATCACCTCATCAGCTTCTTCAGGTATCTCTCTCTCTCTCTCTCTCTCTCAATTATATAAAGGAAAAGATTTAGTTAAAATTGGTTGACCCATTTTTAGGTCAAAGCGCTTGTTCGGGATAAAATTATCTTTCGTGGGTACAACAATTAGTGAGAGAGTCTAATTGGGAGAGAGAGAGAGAGAGGAAGGATGAAGATGATGAAAAAAAAAGAGTGTGATGATAATTAAGATGATGGAGATAATAGAAAGTAAGTAAATAGTAGTAGAGAAAAAAATATCTCCATCATCAACAAGTGATAACTTTTTTTTTGCGAACCAAACTTTCTCTCTCATCTTAATATTTTACTAATAATTCATCAACAATTAGTTTAAATTGAAATATAAACAATTTCCAAATGAAGGATCAGCTGTTAATTTACATTAATTTTTCACTCTCATCTTCATCTTCATCATGATGATAACTGTAAACACTATTCATTGTTTACTATTAATCATTGTTAATATTTATTAGGTAAAACTTTTTATTCTTTCATGATTATGATCGCAGTTAATGATTTGAGAGATGAAAATGATGAAGATGCTAAAATGATTAACTACATGAGCTGAATACAGACTCATTGATGAGAATCAAAGCTCATCACTAAGAGAAGCAAAAACTGCAAATCTACAACAATCACAATCAAATAGTAACAATCAATTTAAGAGATTGTAAAAAAAAAGATAGAAACAACAACGACCACAAAATAACTGGAGCTTGATTTAATTACACTTTTCATCCTTCAGTTGCTTGAAATATCCAATCAATTCATTCAATCTTTTTAACTTCTATTATTTTTTTTCACTTAACTAAACTCGATAAGAACTTTTTTTTTCCTTCTAACGATTGACAAGCTTCAATTTAGATTTTCTCGAATTGATTGCAACTAAGAAACAAAGTAGATTAACGGTTAATGTTTCTGGTGATGCATAATAATGATAATCAAAATAACGAAACGATGAGAAACTTTTCATTAATCATTTCACTTTAATCCTCAGGTTCCAAAGCCATACATTGTCCATGTACCCAAACCAGTAGCTGTACACAAGCCATACCCAGTTCCAGTTCCCGTCAGAGTCCCAAAACCATACGTTGTACCAATCATCAAACAAGTCCCAGTTCCAGTACCTAAGCCAGTCCACAAGATTATCCCAGTTATCAAGGAGAAGCCATATTACGTCAAGAAAAAGATCCCAATCCTGTAAGTGGTTATCCTTTTTTTTTATAATATTTATCATAAAGATTCAATGGTTCAATTTCAGTTGCAAAAAGTTATCCCAATTGACCATGACAATGGTCATTCATAAGCCAGTTAATAGCTATTAGTTTAATAATATCATAATAAGTAGTAATAGTAACAAAATAGTAGCCACTTTCCAATCATATTTGCACGATAATAGGGAGAGGGAACAGAATCAACAATAAAACTCAGCCAAAATCTACTGAGTTTTTGTTATTCAATTGAAATTGACCTAAAATCAATTCTTTTGGACTCTCCATTTACGCCTATTTTTTTCTAATTTTATCATCATTTACCTTCACTCTCATCTCACTCATCTTGCTCATCTTCATCCCCATCATCATCAACAACAACAACTAACCTGCTCTTGAATTTACAACCACGTTTATTTTGCTCCATCATCATCACTTGTTCAACTTTATTCACTCACTCGGCCAAATCCATCCGATGATGATGATGTCCGACCTCAATCATTACACGCAATCATCCAAATCATCTTCATCATCACATTTTCTCCTCTCCTTTCTCTCTCTCTCTCTCTCTATCACTACTCTTTTGAAAATCTAATTACCAAATGGACGAATCAATAATTGGATAACAATAATCGCCTCATCTGACAATTCAAACCCCATGATCACCGAACAGAATTGAGCACCACTACAAAGAAGTCCACAAACCATTGAAACATTGGTGGTAAGATGGGACAACCAACACAAAGACACACCCAACATACAATAAATCAAATACCATAAAACCAAAACCCTCTTCGAACCCCAGGATAACAACGAACACCAAAATTGTAGAAATATTTGATATACTTTTTGAAATCGCAACATCAACATGAACCTCCCAAAAACACTCGAGAGCAATAACTTAACACCATCAAACCCCATCATTCATCATCATCTCTCTTTTTTTATCCTTCATCACGATGGTCGTTTCGTAACATTGATGTAAAAAAAGAGCAACAAAAAATTCACTTTGGAATTTTAAATCATTTTAATCATCACAAAAGCCACTCTCATCAATCTCTCTCTCTCTCTCACCTCCATCCTTTTTTCACATAAGCACAATCACCTTCACATCAACATCTTTTTGCATCGTCGCTTTGCTTTGCTTCGCTTGCTTGCTCGTCTTCCTCTTCTTCTTGCTCTTCATCTTTTCTTCATCTTTTCATCTTCTCTTTCACTCTGTGGTCAATCTCGCTCCACCCCCTTCCCATCCATCCATCCACACACACACACACACACACTTTCCTCTTCATCATCAACAACAACAACAACAAACATCTTCCTCTTCATCCTCATCCTCTCTCAAAACCCCCTCTCCCTCCATCATCTGTATCAATAAGAGATGACACTCAATGTAAATTAGAAAAACATAAAATTTTTTTCATAACATAACAGTTTCCATACAAAACGCCTCTCACTAATTACTATCATGATATCGGTACACAATTAGTCACAATTAATCACAATCAATTAACTCATCTCAACCCCCATAACAGTAACAACAACTAAACTGATTACCAGCACGTATTTAATATACAATTACCGTTACGATTTATCAAACTATCATCAGTCGATTGTTGTTTATCATCATTATATTTGCTTAGTTCTGTAAATAAATATTACCGTTATTTTTTATGTTGGTATTTGTATTGGAGAGCAACACCAATTAATCCTTAAGACGATCATGATGATGATAAATTGGAATCTTTTTTTTTTGCTTGATACTGATTGCGTTAGTGATGAGGATAAAAGATGAAAGATGATGATGATTTAAAGACACGTACGACTGTCATGGTTATAGAATCGAGTTTAATTGAGTGAGAAAATAGTTTATTAGTTTTAAAATGTTTTGTTTTTTTTCAGAATATCAACTAATCATCGAAACAAGATTTTCGAGTTGGTTATCGAACAGGTAATAGAAAATTTTTTAGAACCTTAATAGAACCGTTATTTTTTTTTCTCTCTCTACACTTCAAACAATCTTCATCATCATTATCATTATAATTCATATATTAATATCTTATTTAACTATATTTAGACTGTTAGAGTGTTCAACAGGTAATTTTTGTTATTAAAACTCGGATTCTGATTGAGTTGAGGCATCGGTTTGGTATGAAAGTTTTTACGATTTTGATTGAAGTTTTCGTTATAAAAAAAAGTTTTGTTCTAATTGTGAGTTGTGACTGTTATTCGAGGAAGAAACTTTTGTAGTTAGTAAATTTGAATTAACTAATTATAAATTTGAGAAGAAGAAGATATTATGAATCAATCAGAATTGTCATTATGATGGAAATGATGATGATTGATCTTGATGTTATACTGACCCATGTTTCTGATTCCGTGATGGTTATTATGATTGTTGATGGAAAATGTAAAAAACAATCAACTCAATTGAAACAAAAACAAATTATTTATTTCAAGCTAATCTGTTCAAGAGGATTATCAGGTTTCATCTTAATCTTAAACAATTTCAAACACATTTGATTAATCGTTTTCATGGATAATGGAAAATAATAATAATACTCTTCTTGTATTAGTTATAAAACTGCCCTTTGGCTATTTCAATTAAAACGGTGACCGTTTTAGTTAATTAGATATGAGGGATATGGGGAAATTGCTAACTGTGAACAGTTAGGTCAATAGTTCAGAGAGTGGTCATCTTACTCGAGCCCATAATCAATAATATTGGGGATCCACAAACTGATGTCGGTTTTTTAGTGGTCAACATATTAATAAAAGCGCTTTGAAAAGCGGACTAGCTTAGGTACGCGAACGATTTTTTATAAAATTAAGGCCAAATGTCACAGATAAAATGTGCGAATATTATGAAAATCGAATAAAAGTTTTTTTTTTGATAAAAATAAGCAACGAAACTCTTACAACTATCTACCTTTACGAGTCCAAATCAGGGACAGCGATCGTTGAATGTACTAGAAAATTATGTCAAGCATTTGGTCAAGATAAAACCCTTGACCTTACAGTTCAGTTTAAATATTTCTTATTGTTACGATAGCAAAATGCAATCATCGATTTGCTCTTCGTTACTTTCCCGCCAAAAAGACGCAAATCTTTCGATAAACTTATAACCTCTGATGGTAAATGAATTATGGGATAATTCAACACAGCCTTAGGCTTAATTGGACGAAGCCCTAGTGCTCAAAACGAAAATTCGGGCCTCAGTTCACGAGAAAAACGCTCATTTGTATCTGGTGATGGTTCAGTTCATCATGAACTATTGGAACCCGGTCAGATTATTAACTCCAGTAAACTTCATTTTCAACAATATGAAGTTCAGGTCGAACTAACAAAGAAACTACCTGCTACAGTCACTCGAAAAGAGGTTATTTATCTTAACGATAATGCGAGACCACATTGGTCCAAAATTGTTCGAGAAAAACTGAATAAACTCACTTGGTTCGAACCGTGGATATTTTTATTGTATCGGTCCACAATTTTTCATTCTAATAATATTCATGCTTGAAGACTGACATTTAACAATAGAAAAAGATGATCGATTTTCATGATATTTTTTGAATTAACTTGCCCACAGATTTGAAATTGAATTCGAAAAATCTTATCTCATTCTAGTTTCGTTGTAAGTTAGTTTAGTCAATGGAACAAACTTTTGACAGAAAGTTCGAGCGATTAAAACTATTACTGAACTATCATGGAATTACAGAGTTTCATCTTTGAAATTACAGTTGATGAATAGTTGACAAATTGTAGTTAATCAAGGGCACAGCAAGTGAGTAGAAAGTTTTCGGTTTGGTTAAATTTTCGATTTCATTGTTAAGATTGGAAAAAATTTGCTAATTAAATTAATTATTTGCGTTGTTATGATCGATTTGAAATATTAGTTTTTAGTCAATTTTCAATGAACAATCTAATCAAACTTTTTGATTTCTGGTCTCAAATTGTGATGGGAAGCTAAGCGAAGCTAAGACAGCTAAAAGACTATTCTTTTCAATTTTCACGCTTTCAAAAAACTTTCCTGAGTCTGTTAATGATTTTGAATCACCTTCATGGCCCGATGGTCCTAAGCGAGGACTCATAAGCTCGAGGTGACAGATTCACCTCCCCTTGAGTCTTGAAAGTGTAATTAGTTCTAATGGTGTGAAGAAGCTTTCTCTTCTCTTCCATTCCATTCTAATCTTTGTCTTCCTTATTTCTCTAAACGTCTCATTACGACTTTAAACCAAACGACCATTTGTATTTCGCGCATTTTACTTTTCTCCCCTTACTAAAGCAAATTTACTTTAAAGTAAAGTTGAAATTTCTTATGAACGGATGCTAAGTTTCTGTTCATTTTATGACTGAATTTCGAAACCATATCAGCTCATAGAGCCCTTATAGTCTGACACAACATTGTTACAAAACTCGCATGATAGTTGAGAACTAAATTAACGAAAATCGACGAGTTGACCGATGGTCAAGTTTTACGTGAAGAGAAAAAGTTGAGAGAAAAAAAGATCGATCTTTAAACCGGAACTTGAGCTATAAAAACGAACACCTGAGTCGATTATTCTAATCTTAGTCTCACAGTTCCTATTGGTTTCAGATTCGATCAAGACTTTACCTCCCACCACCACGATCTCTCCTCTTGTTCCTCTTCTTCCTCATTTTCCCACCTCGATTACCTTAAAATTGACTCGACGAAAATAAGGTAATAATAATAATAATCAGAACTCAATTAATATTAATAAGTAAAAGTAAATTAATACAACTGAACATGTTTGTGTTTCTAATGAACTAAATCCTTTTTTAAACCAACCAAACCCAAAGTGCCGTCGGCAGTTTACCTAATCACTAATCGATATAATCAATTGATATTTGATTAGAATGAGCAAAAAAAGGGAAAATCATTTTTATCTCAAATCAAACAATTAGTTGGAAAAAAACACTTACAATTACAATCACAATTAGCTAATCATCATCATCTTCTCATCAATTGATGCTAATTAGATAACATAATATAATGTTGATAATTATGCTCAATGAATTAATCATAAAAATAGACTCTCGATTTGATGAAAGTAAATGAGAGCAACTTAATCTTTGTCTTTCAATATTGTTGTGAATGAGGTGACTTTCCATTTGTTTAATTGCGTTGATTAATTAATTTAATTTACTTTCTTTTTATATTTTAATCCACACACACACAAACATAATTGTAATCATACCCAATTTATAAATAGTAACCACTAATTTATGTGATCGAAAAGAGTTAATTAAGTCTAATCAAGAGAAAAGGAAATGACGAATGTAATAATTTAATTTAATTGTTCAACTTGAATTGTTAATCATAATGAGAAAAATTGAAATGACACCAAGTTAATACTTGACAATTATAATGTAATGTTAATAACAAACTAACACTTTCTATGGTTAGTTAATTGGTGGATTGTTTAATTGTTGTAAATAGTAATAGTATTAGTAATTAGCATGATTATTAATGATTATGTTTTCTTTCATAATGGAAAGTAATTTATTAATAAAACAATTGAATTAAAATTGAAAAGGTAAAACTAATGATGATGATATATTTAAATCACTCACGTTTTGGATTTGAACAAGTTTATTGTGTTTACTTGTGTATTTACTTTCTGATTGTGTTCACTCAATTAGCTTGATTCAGTTTAATTGTTACTCCTTTTTGATTGTCATTTAACTGATTCGTTTGATTCTGTAGCTGAGTTTAGAAAAGCTCGACGACCTTTTTTCTTTATCGAACCAATTTACATATCGAAAGAGCTTATGAAAGAGCGAAAGTCGATTTCAAGATGACGATCGATTCTCAACATCTAAAACCAAACCTTATTGCGACTATTGAACTTAAACATCAAATCGAACGTACGAAAAAAAAGAAAGAAAAAAATCATCTCTCTTTTCCTCTCTCTTTCTCTTTCTAATCTTCTTTCTTTTCTTCTTTCTTTTTTCTTTCTTTCCCTCTTTCTTCTGCTTATCTTCTCTGTCTTCCATCTTCGATCATCTTTTATCATCATTATCATTTGTCTGGCTTGATGAGCAAACCATTTGATAGAGTTTCTTTAATGCCACTTTCGTAATATTAGAATTACGATTTTTTCGTTGCAACGATTATCACGATATCGTTGATGCCTCTTTTAGCGTCTTCATCTGCATCCTGATGATCATCACTTTCTATCTCTTTCAGGAATCTTTCTTGATGATGATCACTTTTTTCTTCATCTTCCTCCTTTTTCGCTCTGAATATCTGTTGATTGTTTGCAAACTTTTTTTGGTTACCTGTAGATATTTGATCAACAATAACTTTCACTTAGTTTGTTTATTGTCCATCATCATGATACATGTACATGTACATCTCAATGAGAACTGTTTTCATTGTCTTAATTGATTTGTTTTCATATAAATTGAGTATTTATTTAGTTATTTTCTGAATTATTATTCAAAAATGATAATGAAAATTTGTTTTGTTTTGCTTTTTGTTTAATTGTTGTTCATCATCAAACAATAATTGACAACAATCAGTTGTGTCACTAAAAGTAAATCACTAAACTCAGTCGAGAATAACAATTTTTTATCTTCTTCTCATTTGCATATCTTCATCATCTTCTTTTCTCTTCTCTTATCATTCTATTTTCTTTCATTCAAATCTCAATTAATTATTATTATCAAGAATTAAGGAAATGCATGGAGAAAGTTGCGAGTTAGAAAGAATCGAGGAAAAAGAGTATTGGTCACCATTGGTTGTTGATAAGTCCAGTTAATTGCATTCCAATCAATTCTGATTTCTTTTCATCTCTTTCTTTTATCATCTGAATCAATTTATTTGTTGATGTTTTTACTACAAGATTTTTTCATGCATATTTATGACGATGAAAGTGTTGTTGTTGTTGTTGGTGTTGCATGAAGTTAAAAAAAGGGGGTGAAGATGAAGGATGCATCGATGATGGCGAGAGATGGAGTGTGTTGTGTTGTGTGTTTGTGTGTTTGTGTGTTGATGATGATGAACTTGGATGAGGATGAAGTGATCATCTAGTTCTTGCTTTGTTCAGGTTTGATTGGGGTGTTGGGGGCAACCTTTTGCTCGTGTTGTTGACTGGCAGCGGCCTTCCATGCCTCGTATGAGGGTGGGTGGTAAACTGGCTTTTTCTTAATGTAAACTCTGTTAGATTAACGGATTAATCAGATTAGTTATTAATTACAATCCATTTGGTGTTGATGTTGTTTTTTTTTCATCCAAGTTGATTGTTATTCACGTTTGAATACCAATTAAGTCGAGATGTTTTTTTTTCGCAGGCGGGGTTGAGATTGGAAATGAGTACAACATCATGATGATGATGGTGATGAAGATGAAGATGAAGATGTAATAAGTTGATGAGGATAAAGTTAAAAATAAAGAGAGAGAGAGAGAGAGAAATGATTAGCAAAAAGATTAGAAAATATGAATGAATGAATTTGAGGGGAAAATTGATAAATGTTTTTCCAAGAAACTGAAATGAATGAAATTTAGGTAAGAATGCGAATTCGTACAAATCTCGATTGAACGAAAAAGAAGAAAAAAAAGTTGTTCTGATTTAGTTTAATTCTCTATCTCTTTTCTAATCGTGATTATCTTTCATCATCATGTTTTAATCGTTGTTCTTGTTAATCGGCATGCGAATAGCAAACGGAACGACTAATGGTTCTTTCCGTTTTGATCGGTTCTGAAACTGGGCTTCATATTAAGAAAGCGATGAGATCATGAAGAGAGAAAGAGAGACCTCAATTGTCTCTCTCTCTCTCTCTCTCTCTCTCTCTCTCTCTCTCTCCCTGTTTCCTGTAAATGATTTCGGTTCCTATCATAATGGCCTAAAATATCAATAATAACATTAAAATACAATTAACTAATTGTAACAATTTCACTTTCTCTCTCTTCTTATTGATAATGCTACTAAGGTAATAATTAACTAACGCAATAAGTTTTAAAGATTAATTGTCAACAATTATTATTATTTACATTATTGTTATTATCAATGAACAGGAAAATACAATTGTGATGAATTACAATTAAGACTAATTTGATTTGATGAAGAAGGAAAGTTCAGTTAATAATAAAGGAAAGGTGATTAATTTTAATCAGGTTAACGGAAGTCGTCAAATTATTATTATATTAAAGTTTCCTCGCTTGATCCAATTAACTAACAGTCGACATTTCAATTATCATCACAACAACAAGAACGAAGTAAAAATTAATTTGATTTATGAAATTAAATCAAATCAAATCAACAGACACATACAATGTATTTGATTAGCTTTAACAATTACAATTTATCAACAAAAGTTATATCAAGATTTAAATACCAGTTAAAAGCACTTTCTACAATCAATTGATTGAGAACGACTTAATTGTTACAATTTAAGTTTCTTTTTTACTTGATTGTCTTTGGTGACAAATGTGACCAATCAATTGATTCAATTCAATCCAATTCAATTGCTATTAAAACCAATAGAAACATCAATCAAATAAGAAACAAATTTCCATGATAATCAAGACATTCATCTTAATAGTGGCCTTTGACCGGATGTCCAATCAATCGCGATTAAAACTTTGATTCAAAAGTTTTTCCTGAAACTTTGATGACCAGTGATCATTGAGGTCACTCTTTCCGTCCTTAATGTGACCTGGGATCTTTTTAATTTGATTAACATGTGGTCTTAATATTGGAATTATTATTCAAAAGATTTGGTTAATTTATCATTTGATTGAGAAGATTAGTTAACGATTTTGATGGATTCAAGTCCCGATTTCTATCAATGTCCATGCCATTGAAAATTTAACCTTTTTTGGTAAAAGGCGGGAATCGGTTCTTTATGGGAATTTGATGGTAAATGATTAGTTAATGTATTTTTAATTTCTTCATAAAGCGGCGGTTCCACTCGATGGGCTAGAATGAGTCGATCGAATTGGAATTTGATTCGATTATCTTAATTAATTTGAACTACTGTTGCTTACGATCTTACTTGTTGAATTTGTTGTCAACACAATTTTCATTTGAATCTTCAGTTAGCTTATTGTTGAGCCGTTGTGATGTCCAACTGATGTTTGACCTTCATTTTCATAACAATGATTAGTTTCAAAAATAATCTAATTGAAATTAACTTTGTCACTAGAGCGGTGCTGTTATAATGGCTTTGTATTGACGGAATTTGGACTCATTAAAAAATGACATTGAATGAGACGAAAAACTTATTCCTCTCAAGGTCATAGTCTCTGTGCCCTTTAGAATCATCTAACTACCTTAAGGAAATATTCTGAGTTGACCTGAAATCAAATTCATCTCATTGTAACTTTGGTTTCAAATAACTTCCGTTCCGGATGATCATCAACAAAATTGAACGATATTTTCACGATTTTCGCGCGAAATTCAAAAATTAGAGACTCCTCTCAATTTGAGTAAACTCTCGGTCCCCAATAGATGGCGGAAGTTTTTTCGGTTCCCTGCCATCTGTTGGAAATGATCTACACTTCAACCCACAAATTTTATCCACAAAAACGAGCAAAAAAATGAAAAGAAAACAAAGTTTTTCGAGAATCAAACCAACAATACTCAACACCATCAACCCACTATCATACCATTAAACTATCACTCAAATTCTAATACAATTAAATTAATACTAGTTGATAAAATCGGACACTTTCTATAAATTAATCTCTACCGAAATTAATTGTATGGAAATTTTTCGAATTTTGAAAAAGGCGCTTCAAAGGTTCCATTGTTTACCAATACCAGTTTCCATGGTAACGGTTGATTGTTTTTCTTGTTTTCATTTATTAATTTACTTTTTCCACTCACTAAATGTAATTAATTTACTTGCCAATGAATTGAGTTATGTTTTCCCTGTGATAATCTAATTGTATTCTCAAATTTGGCCATACGGTGATTCAATTAGTGTCTTATTATGGTTTATATAATTACTACTTTACTATTGATCCTTTTGATCAACATATTGTTAACCTTTTTTGTCTGGAAACGATATGGAAGCAAATTACAAGCCTTAATTAACAAGCGAAGTGATAAAAGTATAATTGGTAAGTTAATTGATAGATTAATAGAGATTGGATTATATACGCTAGATTGAGATTATTATAGAACATGAAAGTTAATCGAAATTTAGATTAAATGTAATCCAATTGATGACGATTGTTAATTTATCTTATTTTCTTTTTATTCATTTTCTCTTATGATGTTTTTTTTTTTTGTTAATTGTATTTACAGATCAACTTCGTAAAGAAGCTGCTAACTATCAAAGGACCTTAAAATTGTCAAAAGAACATGGATACAATTAAAGAATGATATATGTATACATTAATATATATTTAATCTTCTTTTACACTTCAGTTCCATCTGAATGTATACTCATCTCTTCATCAGATGATTTCTTGTGTTTCCTTTCCAGTGCTGATTGATGGTGGATTAAATCAGGACCTAAAGGGAGAAATGGAAAAAGAGAAAGAAGAAAAAAAGTTATCCCAAAATATTAGATAAATGAATACAAATATAAAAGTTAAAGTGAATCCTAAATTATGGTCCATTAATGGTTGACTAGATAATGATGAATAGACAAAATTTTTAAAATAGAAATCATGTTGACTGAACAAGAACATGGATGATAACATGGAAATGTAATAAGATGAGGATGGAGCAAAAAGGAGGACGAAGAAAAAGAAGAAAAAATAAAATGTTGATAATAATTCCAACTCCATAGGAAAAGAAGATGATGATGAAAAATAGCTGAACAAAGAAGAAATGAACTTTTCAACCTTTCCCCTGATTATGATGATAACAGAAAAATAAATAACAAGAATCAAAAGAGATGAAGATGAAAAAAAAAGATGAAAGGTAAGGTAAAAAAAGAACTGTAAAATTAACATGGAAATATCTTCTCGATAATAAATAGTATTATCATAATCATCATTAAACATGATGAACATGATGATCTGAGAATCAGAGGAATGAGAAAAAAATCGTTGAACAAATATCCCATTAACTGATAACCATGATAATCAAATTTTTCAATTTATCAAATTTCGTCTACACAACAAACTCTCTGAACGAAAGAACTAATAAATTAACCAGAGAGAGAGAGAGACGATAATTCTCTTTAGAGAATTTTCGAGAGAGAGAGAGAGAGAGAGAGTTCTACTCGAAATATTCGAAGCAAGAATTTGGATGCATATTCATCATGCATTTGCACCCATGAAGCAGAACTTGATGATAACCATCTGAATTCACCCTGTTCTCCCTGAATCTATTGTTTACTCACCTATTATCGATGTGTTCGCAGTGTTGAATGTATTGAAATTATTAGAATTATTTTCATATTCATAGATGGGTATTGGTGTATCACAGCAACATCCATCACCATCACCTCTGTAAATATGATGATGATGATGCGGAGGATGATGATGGACATTATCTGATGTGAAACTGGTTCGTTTCATCATCCATATTTGATCATCTCCACCTGAAGATACAAAGGTAAAAGGAAAAACAAAGAGAAACAAGAAAATATTATCATATGATGAGCATCTTACATGGTCATTTATTTTCATGATAACTCATGAATCAGAATAATCTTGAATGGTTATCTTGTGATAGGAAATGAGATGATCAATAATAATTCATATTCCTGTTGTTATCATTATTTATTATTATTATGTAACCAATTCCCCTGGATTCTTATTGTTATTTATTGAACATCAAATGTGATAACATGACAACTTATTGATATCATGTTAATCTCATTTTGAATTAATCATCAATACCTTTAATTATATTGAACAAATTTTTCATTCACACCAATTGACTGAGTTCAACTTGAATGATTAACATTTTGATCAGCAATCATTTAATCATTTTCTCATCACAAAATCATGAAACTACCTGTGGATTCAGTTGAATATCTTGATGGTTTGTTTGTTTGTTTGTTTACTTGTTTTCAATTCGTATTGATAATTGTTATCTATCACCATGAAGCTGATTTTTCACCATCATGATTGATTGTTGAAACCATTATGATAATCATGTTGTATTATTTTCATCTGATACTATTTATCATTCAGAATGAATTCCTTTTTTTGATCAAGGAAATGAGATAACATTTTATCATCATGATGAGCTCGAAAATGTTAAATGATCAGGAATGACTTCTGATTTAATTCAATGTCATTGGGAACATTTGTTCAGATCACAATTGAACTGAACTTTTCATTCAGCCTACATGGGTCATTGTGTTTCTTTCATGAGATCATATCAAATTGAGTAATTCAATTTCATTTCAAAAGTAAGAGAGAGAGAGAGATTTCAGAGTTTCATTGAATCAGAATATTGTAGAAAAATATTTAAATGATTAATTATATTAATTGTTGAGATTAAGCTGATTACATGTTAGAATCAAATTCTTTATGGTTACAATGTTTAGAATCTTAAAATTGGGTCAACAGAAATTCATGAGATTTTCCATCATGAATAATGAGAAATTAGTAAGAAGACAATTTCGAAGAGAGAGAATTTATATTCTCAAAATTGAGGAAAGGAAGATAGTGAAGAAATTGATTAAGATAAATTCAATATGTCGTTTAGATGAATTAAGATTAATGATCTAATCCACCTTGGATTAAATAACAAGTGAGAGAGAGAATCAAGTTAACCCTTTTTTAATAGCCTTCCAAGGGAAAAAGACTCTGAGAGAATTGGGAGAACTTTTTTCCCTCCCTGTTAACTTTTTCTATTCACAAATTTGAATACGATAACAAAATTCGAGTCTATTGTTCAATTCTCCCTGATGATGTTTACTTATTATCACTTGGATTAAGGTTATTAATTAAACATGAAACGATTAATTCATTTTGCCTTTTTGTTTGTCGGACAATTTAATGATGATGGTGATGATCATATTAATTTTACTGTCGGTGATAATGGTTCATGTATTTTCAGCAAGTTTATCATGATAATCATGAAACATCATGTTAATGGTTTGTTGATTAACTTTACTGTCAACTAAATGGGTAATCATAATGATGGAAATATAAGTAAGATTAAATGATGAATTAAAATGCTCCTGAAGGGAAAGGGTGACCGGAGAGAGAGTGGAAAGTTCATCAAGGTTGAAGTGTGAAAGGTTTCCTTTTAATTTCTCTAAATTGTCATGTTAATTAATTCTCACGTTTCCAGCTATTAGTTAATTAGAGTCCATTTACTTTTTACAACTTCCACTTGAGCTGATTATCACATTATCCAACTGATCATCATTATTATTACCTCTCATTAAGAATTGAAATTGAATCATTAAACTTGATTCCGTTTGATTGGTCTAATTTGGTTAGTTAATTGTTGATGATCATCAAATTTTCCTCTATCATCATTAATTTGCTAATCAAATTAAAAAATTCAAATTCTTTTATTTTCAATTCGTACCAATAGATGTCACTATAACTCTTCGTAAAGTTTTTATAACTTTTTCTAAATTGCAAACAATTAACTGATTTCATATGAATTTAGTTGAAGTTTATTTGGAAATGATTGATAAATAGATAGAAAGTTTTTGAAACTTGAATAATCTGTGAGGTGAAATTTGAATTGAAATTCAATTTAAAAGATGAAAAGAAAAAGTTGAATTTTTGACTTTTCTCTGTTTTCATTTTATCCTCTTGAAATCACCATGAAAGTGATGAGATGTTTGAAAAATTCATTGAAATGGCACAGATAAGATGATATTTTCCATCTTGTCATAAAGTCTCAAATCTTTGGATTTCTCTGCAGATTTAGTTTATTCATCACCACCCTGAGAGAATGAGAACTTTTCTAAACTTGAATTTCATCCCTGCTCACCTTGATTCCACCCTGAACCAGAAACATCAAGATTATGGTGATATTATGAAGGGAAAAAAATAACCCAACGATCAGAGAGCAAAAAAAAGTTCTAAGCAGAATGAACTCTTTACGCCTTGTTATTCAGATGAATAACAAATTTTCTGGTGGAAACTCAAACGTCAGAATAAATTTAATCGTTTCTCTAAATTTTCTACTGAACAAACAGTCAGAATATTCTGCTATCCTTCATCAGATAGAGAGCGAATTTATAACCATGAAAAGGTGAAAACATCAGAGGTAAGGAGAGAAAGTCCAAGTTTCTGAAAGTTCTGAATGAACAAATGAATTCGAAAACAAAACATCATGTTACGGTCAAGTTGATTTTCGCTCTGCTAAGCTTATCATTTGCTTCGTCGATTGTAAAACTGTGTAAACATTTTCATATTAGTTCAATTTTTTTTTCTCTCCCTGTTCTCTGTTTATTCTTACTGAATTTATCCTGTTGTCTTTTCTTGTCACAATCAAAGTCTAATCCTATTAGCTGACATTCTGCTTCTCTGAGTCAAGTTTCATCATGTTGCTTCTGTCGGTGAAGATATTAGACATTTAAACGAAAAGACAGAAAGAATAGTGGACACAAAGTGACCACCACCATCATGAGAATGATTTTCATGATGAGCAACAATGAAAGGACATCTTTTTGGTTCTTGTTGATAGTCCACAAGGAATTGAATCGCCATCATTTTCTACATGATTAAAAGTCAAAGGAGATGATCATGAAAACAAAACTGAGATGAACTGAAAACTTTTTTAATTAGTTGAAACTGTTATCAAATATTTGATTCAATTTTTCATGATAATAAATGAAAACGATAACATTTCAGTTGAATTGAATATCCTTTCAAGCTGATAAGCTTCAGAATCTATTGAATTGCATGATGATCCTTGATTCATGAACTAAACTTTCGTCATTTCATTCAGAGCACTTAACTAATTGTGTATTCATCATGATTATCATGATACTCATTATTTAACATGATCAAGATGAACTCAATTATTTTTCAATGTCATCTTTTGATGAACAGATTCAATTTCACTCAACAGATTGGCAGAGTTACCCTTTTGATTTGAACAGTACATAAAAAAAGTTCTGACAAAGTTGAAAAAGACTCAGAAAGAAGGAGGAAAAAAAATTCGAAAAAAGAAAAACTTTCCGAATAGAATATCTTATTAATGATAGAACATAAATCAACCCAAGTTCTCATACAGAAAGAAAAAAGGATTCAAATAGAGAGAAAGAAAGAAAGAAAGAAAGAGAGAGAGAAAGAGACAAAGAGTAAAAGTTAACCAGGGCACCATGAAAAGGATGAACATCATAAAGTTCAGAAAAAACTGAACATTTTTCATGGAGCAAAATCTAATATTATAAACTGATTTTCCTGACAAAAGTTACAAATGGAAATGATATTCAAAAGTCTGGTGATAACATGAGGGAAAAAAAGAGATACAATTTACACGTTACATGGGAAATTATTTCTAACAAGAAAATTTCATGAGATGTGATGAAAAAAGTTCCAAATGATGATTACTATTATTAGGTGAAGTTTAAATGATTTCAAGCTCACCCATTACAACTGAGTTTTTTTTCTGATTGTCAATGTTATCATTATCATCTAGTTAATCATCATTAACTAGAAAAAAAATGTTTAATCATTATAATGGCCGTTGAAATGTTCATTCTGAGATTAAAATAATGTTTAAGAGTTGAAATTGAAATAATGTTGAAAGTATCGTTAAATTATTAAAAAAGATGATAACAAATGACAATTCTCACTATGTGATGATTATTATTCAGTAAATAACAAGGATGCAGATATTATATGATCAGTTAATTTTACGATTTGAACTTCAATTTGATTGGTAATCTTACTTGTTAATCCAAGTCTTGGTGGCTTACGAACTGGATTAATTATATCTACTACCGATGGTGGGGCCATGGGCTGGATTGAAGGTGTTGACCCACTGATCGTTGATGTTGTCAACTTTTCAAGCTCAGATTCAGCGGCAACAACACGATTTGTTCCCAATGTTGACCGGCGATTTGACCGTCGACGGCAAAAGATTATGATTATCGCACCAAAAAGCGATGCAGTTATAAAAATACCAAAAAGTATACCTAATATTAGGCCATAAAGAGTTGTATGAGATTCACTGTTATTATTGGACGATGATGAAGATGAAGACGGATAGTTTAATGATGAGAGAGACTTTGATGAACCAGAGGAATGATGTCCAGTCTCAATTGAGGCCTCAGCGGCAGGAGAATCACCAACAGATGATGAGGAAGAGGTTCGAGCATATGAGGTTAATATTTCAACGGTATAATTACGCTCAGCTGATCCAGCGTCGTTTTTAGCTGAACATGAATAGTTACCATCGTTCAGTTTCAAAATATAAGTAATGTCCAGTCTGGAAGTGCGAATCTGTCAAAACAAACCAAAGATGACCATTAACAATGAGAACAAAAAATCGACTCCCAACTTATGATTATATTATCCCTAATGACCATCGATAATAAAAATCTACATGAGACCAAGCAACATTTCCATCAGATTTAAATCAAAAAAAGCCTCAAGCTGATCAGCTGATTTTCAATACTGACCAGTTGCCTCTCACCTGAGATTTTCAATTCCTATTGATAAAAGCTGAACCTTTATTGTTATGATTGTCAGAAATTGATGAAAAATTAAACACAATCAGAGTTTCATCAAAGTTATTCCCTCTTCATGCCCTCAGGGTGTTGGAACTTTTTTCCCCAATAGACAAACTTTACCCTCGAATCTTGAAAATTCTGTGTCAATCTCATCTTTCCTTTTTCACCACTTTTCATGTTACTTTTTTCTATTCTTCTTTTCATCTTCTATTGAATAGATTCTGATGATGCTTTCGATTGAAATAAGATGAAAAAAAAGTTTAATTTCCACCAGAATTTTACTTTTCTTTTCCATGTTTAGTTATAAACATTTCTTTTTCTTGTTTCCATTCACATATTAGGCTTGAAGAATTCAATCAAACTTTAACTACTTTAATCCCTGAGGCGTGTTAATCACTTTCACCAGTTAACTGGACATTTCGAAAGATGGACATTCGAAATGATGACAAGTTGAACAAGTTGTTTAAATGGTAAATTCTCAATTCTCTCTATAGATTATCAAATTCTTTCAGGCAAATTACATCTCCATGGTGAGTTAATGAATTTCTTATCAAACTGATTATCAACATTATCAGAATATTAAATTTTCAAGTCAATAACAGACTGATGCTTGAGAGTCCAGAGGTTAACTTCAAGTTCATCGATAAGAGATAACTTATTCCAATAGAAATCAGAGTGACCCTGTAACTGTGGTTTGAATATATATTGAATTATCCATGAATCGAGATGCAATTTGATTCAATTACAATTGAATCAAGAATATAAAACAAAATGAGAGGAAAAAATGGGAGAGGCAAAGATTGAAAATTCAGTTGGAAAAGTTCAAATTCGATAACAAGATGGATAAATAGATAGATAAAAATTCGTGATCTTTATCATTTAAAATTCTGTCAAAGAAAGAGAGGAGAAACTTTGGAAAAACAAATAAACAGAAAAAGAATAAGTGAAAAAATATAACTCATCGTTTTATTGGAAAAAACTGACCAAAAGATGCAAAAGTGACACGTAGGAAGAATAGTAAAGAAGATCAAGAAGATGAATGAGAGAGAGAGAGAGAGTTCCAAAAATTATGACTGAATAAAATAGAAACACCAGAAAAATATTCACCATCTCCTTAAACTGACCATTGGTTAACCTGAACACTGGGAGGTGGTCAAGTTGTAGGATAAATAAACTGGTCAACATAAAGATTTTGACTTGAATAGATGAAGATACAAAATGTAATAGTAGACGTGGCGAAAAAAGTTCTGATAAAATAAGAAATCTCTTTAACCAGAATGCTGACAGAATTTGTAATCAGAATTTTCTCAATTTCTTTTCCCTTTAAACCAACGAAATTCAAAATGAAAACAAAACTGTCAAAGGAATCGTAGCATCTGAAACTGAATCTCCATGATTATTATCTTACCAGTTAATATCTTCTCACATTATCATTCATTCATTTTCTGTTTCTATTGCTCATTCATTAATATAACAATGAAAAATGGTGATTATGACTAAAGAAATGCGGAAATAATCATTTCCGTCTCCGTTTATGCTCATTACCTTTATCTAAATGTATTAATCGTTTCTTTGGTATCTTATTCAATACCATTGTCATGATAATCACCATGTTAACTCACCTTACGTCTTTTACCGTTCTCATCAATGTTATCCTCATTATCAGTCTCTTTTATGCTGAAATGTTGATTGGGAATTATGCCCTCGCTATTATTTGATATTGGTCGATTTTGCCAATACCATTTAATTGCCAGGGGTTGAAATTCATCCATGAAGAATGAGCATGATAATGAGAAATTGTTATACTGCTCAATTTGATGAACAAGGCTGAAGAAGGAAAAAAAATTATCAGAATTCAAATTGTTATTACAACTTTGGAACTTTTTTTCTGCAATGAAAAACTCACCTATTATTTGGAGCGATTTGAGGTGGACAAACCAACGAATCTAAATCTATAGAGAAAACAAGTGATGAAAGTTAAATATCATGAGGAAAAACTGAGTTCTTAAAGAAAATTCCATGAAAATGAGCAAATTCTGTAAATTATAACCATCGACAGTTCTTAAGAGTAAAAAGTTCACAGTTTTCTAAGTTGATTAATATGAACCTTTCAAAAGTTGAAAAAGTTTCCATAAAGATCAATAACTTTCCAAGAAATTAACAGTTATTATCATGGTATATGAATATTAAAATTATGAGGATAATTTCAACATATCAGTATCATCATCATCACCATCATGTGATACATTAATAACACATATTGGAAACAGAATTTTCAGAATTTTTTTTCCTGATCAATTTCCATTCACACAAAGTGATCAGAATCTTAAATGCCATGTAGAAGCTACTTAAGATCAATCGTTAAGTTAGAAAAAAGTTCTTGACAATAACAAGGCGAAAAGATGATCATCATTATCACCATAATCATCACCATGAAAATTCTGATCATCATGATGAAATCAGAGGAGAGAAAAACTGTAATTTGTTATGAGAACAAAAAAAAAGAAGCTCAAAATGAATGAGAATGAGAAAAAAAAGTAAAGATGAAAAAAAGGTTATCAATTTAGCTTTTACATTCTACAGGGTGGAAAAGTCTCTCTGTGGCTGTCGATAGATATGCAGTGATGGTGAAAATTTCATGGGAAATCCTTCATCTGCTTTCTAGTATCGGGAATTAAGGTGAAAAAAGAAGATGATAAAATGTTGGAGGGAAATTTGAATAGACTGTTATTGTTACCTTAATGTGACCATTTAAAAAGTATTAACATCAAGGTGAACATGAGGAGAAATAGGAAACTCAAAATCGTAAATTTCAAGACATTAGTTGATGTTTTCCACCCTAATCATTATCCACATGGCACTTTTATCTCTCCTTTTACTATTTTTCAAACATTTATCTGAAACTCATGAAAATAAAATGAAGGTTGACATTATTAAAACTGTTTCCACCTTCATCCGCTTTCCACTGCAATTTTATGCTTTATTATGTTTCCAATGTTGTTACCACTTTAATTCACTGAGATTTATTTTCATGGCTTAACGATTCCTAAAGTTTATCTATTAGACTTGAGAAGTAACTTTGAGAATAGAAATAAAATGAAACAACATTATCATCGAGAAAAATTTACTATTGAACTTTTCCCTCCCTGTAAGGGAAAAGTTAGAGTGTGGGTGAGATATTTTTACGAACTGGGTGGTGATAAGAGGGTAGAAAGAAGATTAAAGTGAAAATTGAAAGGAGAGTTAAATTTTTCTCTTTTATTTATCTTCCTCATGAATCTCAGAACTGAATGAGTTCAACTTCTAGAATCGATAGTTAGTTGGAAACTTATCAACTCTTGGAAAATACTGGCTGTTGATTGCTATTTTATCATTGATTAGCTATCAATGTTTAAAGTGTCTCTCTCTCTCCCTCTCGATCTTCATCTTAATCATCAAATTTTTCATGATAAATTTTCATGATGAAAGCTCTGAATTAGGCTCAGAATTTACTCTCCTCCCTGATAAGATTAATGTTATATCACAATGAGAAACTTTTCTTAACTTTCTTTAGCTGTTGTTGTTGCTTTTAAATAGTTGATAACCTTGATTCATTGGTTAATTAATTGTCGATTGGATATTATTATTATTAAAGTAAAAATGTGAAACAATTTAAAATTAATATCAAGATTAGACTGAGAGGATTTCAGGGTGAAAAAGCCTGATGTTGATCATGATAATATTTTTTGCTTCCTTTAATTTGTTATTATCAGTAATTCAATGTTCAAGATTAATGATGATAAACAATAATGATCATGATGATGATGATGAAAGATGATGTAAAAATAATGGTTGACATTGCAAAGTCAGAATTCATTCATGATTATTTATTGAATCTTGTGAATTTTTTTTCCGCATCTTCATCCTCAATGAATATTCAAAATATGATTAATTATCATGGTGGAAATTGAATTTAATCACTGAGAGAGAGAGAGAGAGAGAGAGAGATGAGAAAGTTATTTGCATCTTTGATATTATCATGATGAGTTTCAGGATAAACACTTACATATTAAGAAATGAGTTCACAGTTGAATGGTGAATCTAATTTAGTTATTAATCAGTTAATCAGATTGATTATAATCTGATGATTAGTGATATCGTTTTATTCAAATGTTAACTAAATTAATTCAACATTTATCATATACTACCAAGAGATAAATATTATCTAATTTGATATTCATTGATTGTTTACCTCATCATTATTTTCATCATCCCGATCAACTCATTTATCAGCATTATCCTGATTCAATTGTCTAATTATCATTCAATTTCTGTTGATTAACTTTCCTTATTGCTATCATCAAATTCAATTGTCAACTTGTATGAATATAAAATATGAGCAAATCAATTCTTATAACACATTAGGCGATGCTAATTCTGACCATTGGTCAAGTGAAAATTAAAAGGTAAATGGTATTATCATCATTGAGTTGATTGTTATCACATGTTATTAGTTTCATAGTCCAGGGAAAACATTGCTAATTATTGGGAATCTCAATTCTCATTGGAATGTATCATTCATGGAATCATCAGAATCAATCGATGAAATCAGATTTGATTATTTCATTCATCTTTCTGCATCATCATCATCATCATCATCATTATCTTAATAGCAGAGTATTATAACCATGGGTAAGGCGAAATGATGATCAACAACAATATGAATGTTCATCAGAATGCTGAATCCGATCTGAGAATCAAATTAAATTGAAATTGCTTCATACAGTTGCATAGCAGCTAACATAATTATCATCATCATCATCATCGTCGTCATCATGATTATTACATTATTGTTTATATTATTATCATTCCCTCTCCCCCTTAAGGATACAATATATTATTAATACGATATCAAGCATTCCCGGTTAACGAGAATACCTTATATATGAAATGTTATATTCAATTTCCAATGGTAACCAGAAAGATTCTGATTCTGAAAAGTGCAAGATAAGTATTAGGTTTCCATGGAACTTGGTGATTTACACATAGACACATAGTTGAAGCATTTCGATGGATTCTGATGAGGATAATATTAAATTCTGCCAATGGAAATGTTATCAGGAAATTATTTCATCAAATCCATGGATATAAATATAAGCTTCAGGATGGAAAATGTTTGTGGATCAAATGAAAGGGTCATAAGAATCAATTAACCATCAAAGTGATTAAGCTTCTCATCTTTGCTCATCTAATTATCTTGTGAATATTAAGTTTTAAAACTCTTCCCTCTTCTTAATGATTATGCTCATTAACAACTTGAAAGGGAAAAGAATATGAAAAAAATGTAACAATCTAAATGTTACATATTATGATAACTATTCCAAAAAGGAATGAAGAGAAAAAAAATATCACAATGTAAACATTTTCTCAACAATAATCATGAGATTTCATGGGAATCAGTTGATTATCATTATCAAGTCGCGTGTTGAGTTGATTATGAATAAATTATTTACCATTACAAAGATTAAAATCAAATTGAATTACTGAAAAATTTTCAAACTCCAAATCATTTTCATTAAAAGTTCCGTAAGGGAATTGATAATATTATCGGTGTTGAGAACTCAAGTTACTCCTGATGAATAAATTGTTGATTAACATGTTTCATCATGAAATTCAAGGTTCATTAAATTAACCCGAATCTAACGTTTCATGATTATTATTTCAATTCTAAACTCAATTGGTGAATATTGTAAATATTAATATGAATACATCTTCATATTCACAATCTATCAATTATTATTTTCTCATTGTTATTTCCCATGTAATATATTCTGAGCCAATGTTCAATTCCTCATAGACACAAGAGATATTCAACCATTGAGCTTCATCATCATCATGTTAATGATGATTATCAACAGAGGAACCAATTGGTCTTATTATCATAATAAAATGTAACCAAATTATAAGTAAAAATGTAGCATCAACACGCGAAGTGAAAAAGCTTTTGTATTATGATTACCATTATTATCGTTATCATGATTACTAACAAATTTACTTCTATCTTTTCATGAACTTCATTGTTCTCAATGTTTATTCAGAGAAAGAGGATAGACGATAATGAAGATTCAGGGAGGAGAAAGAAGAAGAAGAAGATAGAAAATGAGAATAGAACATTATCAAAATCCTTTTACCTCCTTCCTTCCTTTTAATTCCTTTCTCTTCATCTTCTTCCTCCTTCTCCACCCACTCTGTTCTCATTATCATCATGATAATAAATATATTCTATTCTAAACATCATCATCTTCTTCATCTTCATTGATTCTTATTCATTTTTACAATTTCTCCAAATTCAATCAACTATTCATCCATTTAAACTTTAACATTCTCATATTCATTCAGCTTTTTGATGGACTTTAATTAGCTCCCATGAGTTTATTTATATTTTTCATCATCTAATATCAACTTTATCATGTATTTATGATGATCATCATGATGAAAACATGTGCATCTAATCAACTGAGTAATAATAATAATATTTGTTAAAGTAAAACTTTCAAGTAAACTTATATAATAGACATAAATAAGCTTATGATGATCATGTGGATAACATAATGATAATCATAATATTATAAGTTGAGTAAATATAAACTCAAGTGTTCAGATGATCATTATTACCATGAGGGTGAATATGGTTCGGAATTTTCCATGTAAATTTCAAATGAATATCTTGATGAAATCACTTGTTAAATCAAATAATAATTGCTGGCAAATGTTTTTCTGTAACGATTAAAGTTAATACTTAAAGTAGCTTTTTTTTATACATGGGGAAAACTTGACGGAATACATAATAATCATGATAATATTATATATAAGATTTTTTTTTCTTCATGGTTATGAGCTTGTTAGGGACTGAACAAATTTTCAGCGAGATTGAGAGAGATGTTTAGATGAGAGGATGACGATGATGAAGGGATGAGAAAAAACTTTTTGTCATCTAGTGATTTGTAAAGACTAATAGTTACTTGAGTGTTTCAATGAGCTCATTTCATGACGATGATGATGATGATGAAGATGCTGAGGATGCCTTTAAGTCAAAAGATGAACATGAAGATGATTCTGTTGTTGAATGATGATAATGATGATGTTTAATGTTACTCATCATCTTCTTATATATATAAAAGTTGGAGAGAGAGAGAGAGAAGGATAAAAATTAGAATCACTCATATTCTCAACCTTTTAATGTATAGTTTATCATGTTATTCTGATGATGATGATAATTATTGAGCTAAAAGGAGACAAGTAGCATGGAAGAAAAAAAGTTATCATCAAGATGATGGAAGGATGCAAAATAGAATCATAATCATCATCCCGATTCTCTGAGGATTTTACCTTCTATTCTTAATATTGAGCTTCCATTGATTATCATAGAAAAAGATTGAGATGGAAAATCAGAGAGGGAAAAATTTCCTTAATGTAACTGTCATTAAAATGACCACAAGACAATGACAATCTCTTGAGGGTGGACAGAAAGGTAGAACTCATTTTCATACTTATAATCAAATAATCATTTCTTACTTCATGATCATCGTGAAGATAAATTCATTTGATTATGATTCAACTCACTGAACTCAATTGTCTCATGTTGTTTATACAAAGTTGATTAAAACTGAAACGAATACATGAAAAAAAAAACAAATATATCGATGATGATAATCAGCTAATCATATTAAACGTAAATGGTATTCCCGTAAATTACAATAACAATTACGAGGCGACTATTATGATTACATTGAAAGTTATCATCTCATGATAATCAGTATAATCATTTTGGTGATAATCATCATCTAGATTATTATGAAAGCTGATTAATATTGGAACTTTTTATCAACTAATATTCACAGAGAAACATGATATCTTTATGATAACAATACAAATAATCATGATAATGTTACTCAGGATCTAACAAGTTAATTGTATTACTTGTTATTATAATCATTAGGTTTCTCGTTATTAATGTTCATCATCATGATAATAATGATGATTAAAGGTGAGAAACGAGTAAAAAAGTAATATAAATTGTTCATGATTGTCCATCAAGGTTGTTTGTTGATTTAATCAGCTGAATCTTTGTAACTTACTACAAATTAAAGTGACACTTTTGTTGATAATTTATCAGTTCAAGTTTATCATTTTCTACTCAGGGTGATAATCATGGAGATTTTCAATCGAAATTATATATTTCAACATATAAGAAACAATGGCGAAAAAAACAAGTTTCCTTGACACTTTTTGGCAATTTTTTCTTCTCATTTTTTTCCATCAGAATCTTTTTTCCCCATGAATTTTCATATTCATTTGGGTGTCAAAAATGATGATCATGATTAGAGTTTACTGTGAATTCTGAATGAAAGTTCAGGGTGGTAAGATATTTATTATAGAAACTACCGAGACAATGAGAAATGATAAACATGAAAAGTTCAACTCCATGGGTAATGAATTTTCCTCATGGAAAAGTTTTATTCAAAGTTTCGAGTGAACTTTTTTGTTGATCGTTCTTTCCCTGGAAATGAAAACTTTTATTGAAATTTTGTCGAGATATTAATAAACAGAGTTTACTCATTTTCGATTGGAAATTGATTTTAAAAGAAAATTCAACTTACTTAATTTGGTCCATATTTTATCAAAATTATAACACTTTGGTTCGTCAGGTACGATTATCTCGCTGGAGATCAAAATTTGACGGAGATTTCGCATTTTACAATCACAGTGCCATTTGTTGCCCGATAAGTACAAAGTGTGAGTTGAATTAAGTGGACTTAAAGACTTACTTGGCATGTAAGCTAATTGATTATCTCTGTAAATTGCAGCCAACAATTGGAAAGTTTAGATTAGTCGAAATCAGTGAACAAGTTAAGCGAAAAACTTTTCTGGATAAGATTAGCATTAAATGACTATTATCGTAATAGTTATATGTTTATAGCGAAATGAATCAACTCATGAGGATAATAAAAGGTATGAATTATAATCATGTGGTAAGAATTTGCTTATATTCACCTTAACTGAAGCTCTTCAAGCGACCATAAACCATTGAATGTATTGATATTGATCTTTTTTATCCGATTACTGTTTATACGAGAATGGTGAAGATGAAGATGGAGATGATGATAATGATGAGAATGCAAATTAGTTGAAAGAGAGAGAGAGATGGAAATAAAATGAAAATAAAGTTAGAATAAATTTTCGTTTCCAACTCATGGTAAATTCAATGAACAACTTATAATAAACTCATAATATATAAAAGAAGATTTTTTTTTCTTTTGTGGTTCAGTGTTGAAATCAGAATATTCATCATGATATTATCATGATAACAAATAGATAATCAATTGCTTGTTTTCAAATTTATTTCTTCTCATGACATCAAACGTCAAATGTCAATCAGTGAATTTTTATTTATCTTCTCTTTCCATTCCAATGGAAATCGATTCTTGAAATATAGTTGAAATGAGTTATTGAATTTTACTCTTGTTCATGATGGTTAATGTTCAAACATCATGATGATTATAATGATAACCTCTGATGATCCTTGAAAAGTTTCCTCTCTGGTTTATGTTACTAGATCGACAGGTAACTCTCATGATTCATAGTAACTCTGAGGTTGAATTTTCAAGTAAAAAATCATATCCATGATGAAATTCATGATAACTGAACAAGAATCAGTGTTGAAATGTTACTATTTCTAGAAAACATTTTTGATTTATTATTAAACAGAAAAAATTGTTCCTTTTCATAAGTACAGTGTGATTGAAATAACCAACTGATTTTGCAAAAGTTATCCACAGATTATCAATATTATTATTGATAAATGCTGAAAGAAAAACTTTTCCCCTGTAAGATTGAAATGAGAAGTGTAATAAGACTGAAAAACTTCAAGAAACTCGGGCATGGAATTGTGCTCGAACAGGACTGATTTAATCAGAATTAAAATAGCAATTCGTCTGTTGAGATTTACAGAATTTTCATCAATCAGAGTGAATAGTTTTCTGCACCTTTCAGGGAACAGAAACCAGAACTTTTTGTTAATAGCTCTCAAATTCTCAGTGTGATAGAGGAAAATTGACTTTCTCTCATGACTAGTAGACGATTTCTTCCTCATCTTATTTGAGAATCTAAAGTTTTGTATACGTATGAATAGAAAAAGTAATCAACTTACTTGTTAAGCAAAAGAAGCTTCAAATTGGATAAATAGTGGAAGGAATTATCTTTAAGAACTTCAATTTGATTAAAGCTTAAATCCAACGTTTTAAGCTTTGGAATATTTTGAAATGCATCTATTGGTATGGATTTGAGAAAATTGTAGGCGAGATCAAGTTCAATCAGTTGAACTAATTTGTGGAAAGCAGTTTTATGTATCTTTTCAACAGAAGCTGAAACAAAAAACGGAAACGGAAATGATGAGTTGAAAGGGATGACAGTTTTCAGAATTTCAATACAAACCTTTTCGTAAAAATATCCTCTGTAGATTGATTAAATGAGCATTTGAGAAAAGTTCTTTCTTAAGTTCGACAAAACTATTCTTTGTCAAATTGATAACTTGAATTTCATATAAATATTTTTCATCTTTAACAACAGAAGCCTTTGGATGATGAATGTGAACCCCATGATTGATGAAAAGTCACCATGATGATGATAATAATGAAAAGAGAGGAGAAAAGAGAGAAAAGAATTAGATTTTTTCATTTTCTTTGTCAATGATTAACACTTGATTAGTTTCCATTAGATTAGAAGTAAACAAAATAACGAATCAATTGGTTGAAGAAAATGTTGTGATAGTTTCGTACGATTAAATCTAATCAGTGGATAACAATTAACTGAATCACGTTCCATGGTGAGAATAATATGTTCACATCTGAATGATAATCCAATTTCATTTCTAATTACAATTTAATCTAAATTTATCTCTCAGAATTGTAATCATAATCGTAAGTGATTAAGTATTGAAGTAACATCTCTTTTTTTTGGCAATATAATAATCATAATTTATGATTTAGTTGATCATGAATTCAGGAAGTAAGAATGAAAAAATGAGAGAGAGAGAGAGATTCAATGTTCCCTGAAAGATTGAATAACGGAAAAATTTCAAGCGGAAATCTGAATCAAGGATAAGATTTATACTATTAATATGATTCATGATCAGTTTCACCCTAATACCATGAGATATTGTAACAATATAATTTACTGAAAACAATGTTACCGATAAAATATCAACCTCGGAGTGAAAAAGTCTCAGGTAAACAAAAGGTAAGTTGACTTGATGATAAAGAGTAAATAAGATTGGAAAAAAAATGGATCTTGGAAAAAAAGTTCATTGAGAAAACAATGAACAAAGTGAAGTCTGATAACATGAATTTAATATCATGAAATCAATAAATTCAATCAAGATTCATTGAGGCAATAATGTTAATCGTTGTTATTATTATTAAATTAGAGAAACTTTTTTCTTTTCCTCCGATTGAAAATCAAGGTGGAGAAAAAGTTTTCCTCTTACAAGAATCATTAGAAGGTATTGAAAATTGATTCTCCTAAATTCATCAGAATTCATATCATCTCATGATCCCATTATCAACATGATGAATGATGGAATCATTTTTTTTTACTTCTCTTCCTTATCATCATTGCAATTTTAAGGTCTCACCGGTATAAACAGGGTGGTAAGTGCTTATCCCACCCCTCAACTTTTACTCCACCATAGACTAGACCAGGTAACCAGACAAAAACTAGATATCATGAATCTCATGGGAACCATTTCACCAAAAATTCAGGCTCATTTTTTGTTTACTTTTTTTTATCGTAACTCAAATTGTTCAGTTGACTGAATTTTTTTTTACTTCTTTTCACTATTGGATAACAATAATATCTACATGAAATTTTGAGAAGCAAAAATTGATACTTTTTCCAAAAACAAATCAATAGGGATCAGAATTTTCTCCCAATTCTCATCGGATATAATTTGGTTTCTTTTTTGGTTCATGATGATTTCCACCGATCAGATTCATGTTAACTTATTATTTCTCAATCTGAATTTGTGTATAACTCAATACAATGTATAACATGGGAGAAGGAGATTATCATGAAAACTAAGAAATAAGTTCATCTATCTACATGTTACCTGTTTCCTTATTTTATTATCATGCTATTATTATATTTCCTTGTTGTTGTTAAAGGATAAAAGTGTATTGAAATTTTTTTATCTTCCTTCAATTCAATTTCAATTCTTGAGAATTGAAATGATTACTATTATTGTGTTATCATGATTACACCCAATTTCATGTTTACTTATTTATCATCTTGATAGAGATTGAGAAACCGTTTTCTTATTGTGATATTTACTGTTACATTTAATACACAAAGTGAAACATTATTATTAGATATACTTTTCAGTTGTTGATAATATTACCTTGTTGTTTGTCACAGATTATTCAGAATCTGAAATGAGATAATCTGAGAAACAAACTATTGATATGATAAATGATACAAGTTTCATGGGGAATTGACAGATTCAGATTGCAAAAGGAAAATGTTGTAATTTGATTGTTTGTTTATTTAGTCAATCTTTAACTCTGTACAATTAATTTCATTTCAGGGGATGGAAATGTAATACAGATTCTCAGGGTGGATTGAATTTTCACCATTTCCTGAGTTATTTCATTTCTTTCCGATTGTTTATTCAAGCCTTGAGCTTTTTTCTTCATATAAACTCAATTCTGTGTATCATCATCACTTAACAAGCTTGTAAATAATATGAGGAAAAATCAGCAATCAAAGCTGATCAATTGCAACGGTTAAATCAACAAGGACATTTAATGGAAACAATAATAATAATAATCTAACATGATGATAACTTTAAAACCACAGAGGGAGAGTGAGAGAGGGACGATAACAACATCGCCACAAGCAGAGATGAAAAGTTCATGGTCTATGTTAATCACTCATGTAAATCATTTCCTCGATTATCTTTATCTTTTTGGCTGTTAATCAATGTTTTAATCATTCTTGTAATCAAACTGATGTTATCATCAACTGTAACTCTGATTAGATTGAAGTAATTGTTGTGTAATCAATAATCCAGCAACAATTAAGCTTGGAGAGAGTTTTCTTGTTAAATGATTAATTAGAGAGTAAAACTCATCAACTAATCGCTCGTATTTGGATTGATTGAATTCTGATAAGATTAAGAATCTTGGGATTTGAAAGGTGACAAAGATTGAAAAAGATTAGCAGAGTTATGATGATGAGAATCAGAATAAAAAAAGGTAACCACAAATAAAAGGGAAAAAATATTCCAGGTAAATAATTTTCTGTTAATTGTACTTGATGATAATTCTGAACCTTGAAGATAACAGTTATTGGTGAAAATTTCTGAGCAAATGAATGAAGAAAACGGAATGTTAAGAATGCTAATCAGAATCAGAATCAGTATCATGTATCATGAAGCAACTGAATAAATTTGATGGAAATATCAGTAAATCCTTTTCTCTATCGTCAGCATCAAGCTACATCTTTTTATCTTCTTCATCATCGTCATCCATTGGTGTCATTTATCTTCCTAATTCATCTCAGACTGTTGGATGATAATGATGACAATTTCATCTTCTCATCATAATAATAATACATCAGATAATGATTATTACTTTTTCTCATTATATTCTAGTTTATTTTTTCGCCTATTCAGATATTCACCAGGAAGTGAGAGAAAAAAATTCCAACACCGAATATATATAAAACCGAATACATATTCATAGGTTCATGGTGGAGATAATTTCAGATTATCTCTATTATTGTTATTATTATTATACTTCCAAATGTCCATATACACCAAAAAGCTCATGATAATTTTAGTTACTTGGAATCAACTGAGCACAATGATTATTATCATTTTCTTTACCAATGTTTATCATCATCAACTTACATCTATAATAAATGGATTGATATTCATGATGATCATGATGGAAGAGGAATAATAATGAAAGTTAAATATTGATTCGATTATTACAAATTTCTTATATTCAGTCAACGATGAATTCATCTGAAAATGAACTTTCCATGGTAAATGTAATATTCTAATCAGAAGATATCGCACTTCTGAGAAGCGAGAGAGAGAGAGAGAGAGAAATCTCAACTTAATCTCATTCCATGATGAGTTGATATTGATGGAGAAAATTTTGTTTTCAGGGCAGAACAAATATCATATTAGCTAATCATCATGATAAAGATTCTGCTGTAGTGGTGATGATGATGTTTCCATCTAATCAGCATGATTATTATGAGGATAATTGATAATATTTATCATGATCATAACTTGAAACGAATCATGATAACAAAGATTCATTGTTCAATCGCTTGTTTTATTTACTTCGTGACCATTGGATAAGTATTTCTATTCATTTCTGTCAAGTGGCCAGTTAGATTTTCCTACGATATTCAATGAATGGAAAGGTAACCCTGTAAGAATAAAACTGATCGCCACACCCAAAGAATGATGAATCTTTTTGATTATTCTCAACTTCTGTGTTGAACATCTACTAGTCTTTCTATGTACACCAATTTTATGGTTCGATTGAGCATCGATCAACAATCTTTCGATAATATCAAGCACCGAGAAGAGAAAAGAAACTTCATCAACAACAGACATAAATTCTGATTCCAAGCTAAGAATTCAAACAAACATTTGTAATCTTTTTCCATCAACATCTTCAACTTTTCTCGTTCTCTCTCTTTCTCACTTTTGTTTTTTATCTTTTCAATGTTTCTGTTTATTCAAACATGCGATGATCATGAAAGGAGAAAGAGAAATCATGGAATCAAAATAGATTCTCTGGAGATATTTATGAGACAAAAGGGAATATTATTGATGAGAAATACGACGGAAAACATGAGGACTAATGGTCCATGTGATGTACTTGGGATAATGAAGAGAGAGAGAGGAAAAGAAAGTCACTAAAGCCCTGATCCAGCATTTCCCCTGGTCCATGAACATTTCAATAGCTAATCTTTGGTCATTCACGTAGGTGATACAAGGAAATGATGAAATTTCATTTAATTTATTAGTAGTAACTTCATTCTAGATTTTGCCAAATTTTCAGCCTCATCAATGTTATTACTGAGTAAAGGGTGTGACAGAAAATCAGTGATTAGTTGACAATTAAAAAGATACACAGTTTATTGGTTTACTGAGTATTCATTATGAACCACTCATTTCATTAAGGTAATTTATTATCATCATGTTAATGAAAGGGAGTTTACTTGAATACAATACATAATTGAGGTGAAAACATGGCCAATGAATGGGAACTCAATTATCACCTTGATTTTGTCAAGAAAATCAAAGACAATAAAAGGTAAATTTTGATTTAAAATTCAAACATAAAACTCAACTTAATTTGGAATTTTTTTCCAGAAATATTGAAAGAAAATTCATATTTTCCATGGAAATTTTATTGTGTATCGTGATTCTACATACACATAGCCAAGAATGAATTGAATTTACTGAACTGAACCTCCAGAGTTGACATGGAATAACATTAATCACAAACTTCATGTAACATTTGTTTTCACAAGTATATTCATGAGTTCATG